CCGAAAAATGCCATTCAGCCGAAAGGATGCAGCCACTTTTGATATATGATTGCTACGACGGAGTAACCCGAAAAACTAATGTTACGAAATGCATTTGTTCGTTTCGGTTTTGTGCTCGATGTTTGTCGCGAGAGTAGAATTCGAAGACGCGATCGGCCCAGGTGCTTAGTCGTGTGGATATGTATTTGGTGCCTCGGATGATGGATACGATACCTACTGTTCCTGTTAGGTCGATGAAGATGGCCACGGCGATGATGGCGAATCGTTGTGGGAGGTCGATGTAGATACTTCCTATCCAGAGGGTGCTGGGGATTAGGATGATGATCGCTTGGGCGATTAGCATTCCTCGGACCATGGGGATAACCCAGGCGAGGAATAGAAAGTATGATCCCATGAAGAGACGTGCGGTTAGGTAGAAAGCTATTAGCATCGTGTAGGTATTCTCGAAGGCTTTTAACATATTTGTTGTGAGACTAGGTATTCAATGTTAGCATGAATATAGATAAAAGGACAGCGAATCGAATGATAGTGTAAAGAAAATTGCATCAGATTTGAATGCATGCTAATTACTTACCCAAGTAAACAAGTCATGATAAACAAGATAGTTATTCTTTGAGCTATATCATCTGTTTCAAACCAAGAAACAATCGTAGCTATATCACTCCAAATCTTCCAACTCATGATAAACGTTATGACGAATCTTAAAAGTTCATATCCAGTAGGATTCTCCGCGGCATGATCTCCATTGATAGCGAGAATACCAACATATAATAAATCTACGAAGAGCTCAAATGAGGCAACTTCAGTACTACCTGATGCTCTCCAAAGTAAACCTCGATGGAAATATTGTCGAACGGTAGGCTATTATTGATTATTAGCTTTTATGCTCCGTGAAAGAAAAGGTCAGAAGTATGAGTACTCAAATACCTATATAACCTCACCTTTTTATAAAGTTTCATAATCCTTCCCTTCCTCTTTTCCGCCGTCCAATCCCTCTTCCCATGATCATCAGGCCCACGATACAACGAAGCGGCCTCAATCCTCTGAGCCGCCCCATCATCATACGTTCTCAAATGCGCACTATAACCATATTTCGAAAAATTCGCATCCAGCGCCACGGCATGATCAGTCAACATGTGAAGTTCGGAGACGAGAACATCCAGTTCCGATTTCACATTTTCAATCTCGTCGTAAGCATCGCCATGTTTATCTTTCAATGCTTGTCGTTTGGATTCATGATGATCGTGTGCGGCGCGCAGCGCGTCGAGATGTTCGGCCGATCCGTGGATCACGAGGTCGAAGGGTTGGTCTTTTTCTGTGGTGCTGAGGCGGCGACGGAGCAGATCCGCTTCTTCTGGGGAGGGGGCTATGTGGATTTTTCGTCCGTTAGGGAGCATGAAGTTGCGGAGTCGTTGGCCTTTGTGATGGTTGCCGTGGGGGGTGGAGGGACCCCGTGATGTTGGAGTCGTAGACATTTCCAGAGATATCAGAATTGCGAGAGGTTCTCCCAAGGTATAGATAGTTGCTTCACACAAATACCTCTCTGATACTTCTGTGGCAGCTAGTACGAAGAAATAATAGCTCTCGAGCTGGAGGAAATCTGACCCCAAAGAAAACAAATGGAAATAAATCCAAAAAAATTCAAAGAGGGAAAAGTATCAACTCAAACTAGGTATGTATAGATTACACAACGCATCTATCTGTATACAATTTTGCTATCCCAACCGCATATCACCCAAACCGGGGATAACAACAAGAAAGATCGACCAAACCACTGATATAAAACCACATCTTCGGCCGATAGCAAAAGAACACAGCCCATACATAATCCATAATAGCCCAATATTAAAATGAAAGGAGAGAATCATAAGCACAGGTGTACTGCGTATAGTGAAAAGGACCAAGCGTGGCACCAATCCAAATGTAGTTCTTGCATGAGAAAGCTTACCAATCGTTTTGGCTCCCTAAATTCCTTGTGTTCATCAATCGGCGGAATGTTGGCCCTGTTGAAAGTTGATTAGTAATATTTAGATTTATTGATATATAGGTAGTCAGTGCTTTAGATTTATTCCGGAAATCGAATTGTCCCTTTCCCGATTTTGATATAAAAATATATAAAAATCTCAAATGTCACCGAAAATTTATATTTTTGAGAGAATTTTTTTTTTAAAATTATATATTATAATAAATAAAATATTCATTTCCTAAAGGTATTTACTTTTCCATACCCGAAGTCAATCAGCCGTTTTTATGATTCAAAAAGTCAACCCTATCGAAAACCATCAACGGTTTCAAGATTCATCAAGTTTTAAAAATTATAACATCAGTCGTTCCTTCAAATAATTTCAACCAATCAATAAATCATCACATAGATTTCTTTACAGCATTAGAAGAGATACAATTTCCTCGGACAAGGAAACACATTCGGATCCGAAGCGTCTGTAAGACATTGTACCTTAGAGGAAAGGGTAAACCTATGGATGTTGTTTACGATCATCATTAGGATTTATTTCTATGTCCAGCCGCACTGTTCCATGAAGTTGGTTGGATCATATGCTACAACAGCATTACTTGGGTTCAGCCAAGGGACAAAGAATGAGATGGTTGCTTAGGATCATAATTCACAGTCAGTACACCAGTATAGGTAATAAAAATGAAGATGAAAAATACATTATAAATTCTAAAATTACAATTCCTACCCAACCAGCCAGCCATAAACCCATCTATACACTATTGTACAATATACACTATACGCCAATAACCCAACATCCAAAATATCAACTAAAAACTACACAATTTACTCTTCCCACAAATAGTCCTGGCCAACATCTCAATACTCCCACTACTTAACAATTCCAAAACCTGTAAATTCGCCTCGAATTCCCTCGCGATAAAATTCCTAACCTCAATCGCTACCAATGAATCCAACGCATAATTCGACAAACTCCGTGTAATATCCATATCCTCCGCTTCTAACATTAACACCGAAGGTAAAATATGTAATAATCCCCGCGTAACGACTTCTTGCGCTTCTTCAAGGGTAGTAGCGCTCTTAAGTCCGGTATTGAAGGATACATTTGCTGACGGAGAGTCAGCTAGAGAGGCTGACAGGGCTTCGTGGGCCAGTCGTAAATGTTTAAATTTGGCGTCCGAAGTCCAGAACGGTGGTGGGTTGGTGATTCGCATTCCGGTTATGGTGTGATTATTACACGAACGGGCTAAGCGACCAGTAATGGCAGCGCCAAGGAGTGCTACTACCTCTGCTTCGCATATGGTGTCGCTTCCGAGGTTTTTGCTTACTTCGGCTGCGGCATCGAGGTTTTCCGCAAGATAGCCTGCGTCGGATACGGCGGTGAGATCTAAGGAAGAAGCAGGCAAGCCTTGAGTAAGGCGATACTGCACAAATGCATTTAGAAATGTATTTGCAGCAGAATATGCGGCTTGGCCTCTGTTTCCAACTGCACCAGCTGCGGAAGAAATGGCAACAAAGAAATCTAATTGTTGCGATCTCAGGGCATTGTGGAAATTCCAAGCACCTTGAACTTTGGATTCAATGACTGTACTGTATTCCTCATATGTCATTTTCTCGAACAAAATATCCTATTTAAGTTAGTGATGTTCAGATATTATCAGGAGAATTGACTTACTCGAAGAACCATAGCTCCATGAATGACACCTCTCACCTCAGGCAAATCAGTAAGTTCATTTGTGATGAGATTATTTACCGCATCACTATTAGCAGCATCACAACGTCGAATTATGATATTGGCACCAGCAGCCGCAAGATCATCGACCAACTCCTTAACTTTTCCAGTTACGGAACCACTTCTTGATACAAGAACAAGATACTTAGCACCCTTACTGACCATCCATCTAGCCATACTTCGACCTAAACCACCAGTTCCTCCAATAAGTATGTACGTGGCATCAGGGCGAAGTATCTTGCTTCTTTTATCTGCAGGAGTCGCCTGTGATATTGTTAGTATTTTGGATGATGAAATATTTGGTTACTACTAACCTTGACCAAATCCTCTGGCTTCGGCGCAATAACCAGCTTTCCATCGAAGTTTCCAGATTGCAATGTTTTGAATGCTGTCTCGATATCCGATATCTGGAATATTGTTGAACTAATGGGCTTGATGGTGCCTTGAATCAAGAAGCCTGAGATCCGCGAAAGGAGGTTGCTCAATATCCTTGGCCTTTCAATACCCAAAGTTATCAAGTCGACGGAAGAGTAACTCCTATTGGTTCCACCTTCAAGTCTTGCATGATTTTCTTGTTTTCCAAGATTGATGAAGCGCCCAAAGTTGCTTAAGCACGCAGAAATCTCCTGCAGCGTATCTGCATCCGCTGAAATACAATTCAATACAACGTCAAAATTGTTTTTGTATGATTGCTGGAGAGTGTTCGGTCCAAACGAAGTATTATGGCTTACGATTATCTCCTTTTCGGACAAGCCGTACAATTCTTTTAGCAAACCCCCCTTCTCGATGCTACCAACAGTTACGAACAGCTTGGCACCCATAGTTTGAGCAAGATTGATGGCTGCTTGTCCAAATGCACTGGATCCTCCATGAATTAAGATGGTGTCATCCGGGAGCAGTCGCCCGATATCGTTTAAACCATAGTATGCAGAGCAAAACGCCACAGGCATTGATGCGCCGGCCTCAAAGGATATACCGTGATTGATCTTAAAAGCGGAAGACGCATTCATGAAAACCCGGCTGGAATAGACTCCTTGAGTGATCGAAATACCAGCAATCCGATCGCCTTGGGAAAAATTGGTAATATGACTACCTGTCTTGGTGACAATACCACTACATTCGCAGCCAAAGCCTTCATGATCTGTGTCACCTAAGGCAGCAGCGAGATCTATTGAATTCATACCAATTGCTTTAAGCTCAACCTCAATTTCATCATCTCCTATTAATCGTTCCGGCGACGCATCGATGAAATGGAGGGTTTCGAATGCACCTGGAACGGTGATAGCCATCTTCAGTAGCCGATCTTCTTGTCCAAATGGTGTTAGATCTAGAGCGGAAGCTTTTGTTTGTTTGTGGACGTATTCGTTCATTTCTGTGTCATTGATGATACGCGGCGTAAGAAATACGCCCTTTCTCTCCACAAATTCCAGTTCGCAATTCGCGTCAGCCTGTGGACCAAAAACAACTTTAAAGACGGTGACTATAGCGCTGGTTATATTTTCAATAAGAAGCCTTTCTGGATCCAAATCTAAGGTTGCGAACTTGAGTATTGTCTCAGAGCGAATACTTCTGCTTAAGCCAGTAACCATGTTGGCCGTAGGATCAGATGAATTAACATATGCTCCTGTGACGACCCATAGTATTCCGCGAGAACCAATTAGTGCTTTTTGTAAAGCAAGAAATTCGCAACACGTGAGGGTTGACAAGAATGGTTTATCGAGCTCCGAAATAAATATACAGAGCTTTTCTGTCGTTTCTATCTCAGACAGATTGCCGGTGTAGGGTCTTCTTCCTGTCGAGTGCTCAAGAAGGTCGGCTAGCTTGGATGCAACATCTTTTTGTTCCTCCGAGTTGCCACGGACAATCACAATTTGTTCGGTTGAATCATAATTACATTCCACTCCATTCATTATGCCATTAGTTAGTGCATTGGGAACTTTTGCCGTCTCATTTGAGGCATCATTTTCTTCGACAGAGATTGAAGCCTGAAGTATAGGCTCCCAATCTAATTTATAACAAAGTTCTCTTTGCACATCAGTCTCCGAATTTAAATTTGTTTCTACTATTGGTGAAACCGTTAAATCGCGTATTATAATGAGTGGATCCTTTGATGAATGATCATTGACTGCGAACATCGAGACACTGGCGGGCTTCGGATGGCCAGATGAGAAAGTGCCCTCACAGAACGCCTGGAGGGATGCACCGGGATTGTTCATGAGTTTGGTGATTTCTCGCGAAATGGTTATTTGTCCAATAGATGAAGGCAGATAGATAGTATCCATTGGATTTTGACCTGCGTCAATGATTGGCCAGTACATCTCAATGACTTGTTCAAGGAATGCTGGATGGATTATCATATCTTCTTGATGTTCTTTTGGCATTTCTTGCTTGGTGTCTGGAACCATGACTTGTGCCATTGAGGCATTTTCACAAGCGTGGCATTCATTCATACCTTGGAAACTTGGTCCGTATGAAACACCTAAGTTCGAAAGTGAGTTGTATAAAACAGATTTGTTGATGGCACTTGTTGCTGCTTCTGTAATTTCTGCCATGGTCGATTTTGTTGCAGATTCAAGATTGTGATGGTCTAGTTTTGTAGAAATAATGCCTTGGCAGTGCAAGGTCCATCCTTTATTCGCGGCCCACGAATGAATTTTGAATTCGTCCCAAATATTAGAAGCAGAATTATCATGCGCACGAGGACGTAGCTGAAGAGTGATCTCGACAGGATCTTCGGTAAGCACAAGTGGCTTGCTGACCAAGACATTGCGCAGCTCAAAGTTACTGTACTGAATGTTACCAGCTACTGCCTTTTGCGATGCCGCTTCTATTGCGATTCCGATGAAAGCAGACATAGGAAAAAGTGTTAGAGACTGAATCTTATGATCCCGTAGCCATGGAACGTCGTCAATTCGAAGAATATTTCTCCAAGTTGGCTCGAGATCGTTCGAGTAATTAGCCAATGTACCTAGAAGATCATGACGTTGAGCTGTTCGACCTTTGTGCTTTTGCATTAGACGCGGTTCATGCCAGTACTTTGTTGCATGATTCCAAGGGTATCGAGGCAGGTCGATCAGTAATGAAGGAGGATTGAGAGGGGGAGTTATGTTAATGGCGCCGAGCTCAAGGATCGCGCCTTTCGTAAAAAATGTGGATGCTAAGTCTATTGCTGTTTCCACAGCATCCCTATTCCTCACAAGCGCAGACGCGTAAGAAATCTTCATTGCATCCTTCCCGCAAGTCTTTAGGATCTGCTTGATTGGGCCAGCAAGGGCTGAATGGGGTCCTAGCTCGATGAGCATATTAACGCCCGTTTTATTTTCATCAGTTGGTGCACACATGTCCACTACAGCTTCAGAAAATCGAACCGCTTGTGTTAAATTGTCGACCCAGTACTGGGCCTCGAGACTTGGTCCTTCTACCAGATGGCCAAGTAATGAGGAATGAAACTTGACATCTGTAGTTTTGGGAAGAGCAAGAGATTGAAGACATCTTCGGTAGTCCTTTGAAACCAAGCTCATATGATGAGAGTGATACGCCACATCAACCTGGAGCTTCCTATTAAACATTTGCTTTTGTTCCATTAATACTTGGAGTTCGTCGATAGCTGGCTCATCTCCTGATATAGTTAAGCTGGAAGGACTGTTGAAACAAGCTATGCGAACTGTTTTTGATTTGAGCTGATCGATAAGTGGTTCGATCTCTTCCTTACTGCACCCAACAGCCATCATTGACCCTCGCAGATCGGGATACTTCTCCCTTAATCCGACAGTCGCTAGACCTCTATAGTATGCAATTGCCATGCAGGATTCAAGAGGCAGAATGCCAGCCGCATAAGCGGCTCCAATCTCACCACTGGAATGACCGACAACGGCTGTTGGAGTTATATTCCAACTTCGCAATAAATCAGTCAAAGCTAGCTGTATTGCTGTGCATGCAGGTTGACTAATATGAGCTTCATTGACAAGCGAGGATGTGGCATCTTTAGTGAGCTCGGTGATTAGAGAAAAAGGTGCCCCGAATGAAAATAGGCATTTGTTGCAAGCATCGAGAGACGCAGCGAAGACCGGATAATGCTCATAAAGCTCACGACCCATTGCGTTCCATTGAGCGCCTTGTCCAGTAAATATGAAGCCAATCCGTAATGGTTCGATCTCTCTCATTGGTAAGACTTTTCCAGAGTTTAGTGCTTGAATAAGCTCAAAGGATGATGTGGCTGGAATTGCAACTCTCCATTGAAGTCTGAATAATAATTAGGTTAGCACCAATGCGGCCATGATTCTCATACAAGATTGAATCTAGAATAATTTGAATTTTCAGATCCTCAAATACTAAGCTCAAACTAGAAACTCCTTCTAGTAGGAGGGCACGATTCATAGACTTAAGCTCGAATAAGACATCCTTGACTGATGGATAAACGAAAGAATACTTACAGAGATCTCCGCTGTCCCAGCGTGTAAGCCACATTGCTCATTAGTCCATTTTGAAAGAATTCCGGTCTTCGTTCCAGGTAGATGCCGATGTTTTTCATAAGTGCCTCTAGCGCACCTTTATCGTTTGCGGATAATGTGATCAATCTTCTATTTTGTAGCGCTTTCTCGCTAGATTCCGGTTCAACCTGAGTTATGAAAGGCGCCCGCTCTAAAACAACATGTGCATTTGTGCCTCCGAATCCAAAGTTGTTTACACTGGCAAACTTCTTTGGTCTTGGCCATGGGCGCTGACTGATTGGAACCTATGGCAAATCAGCATTGATCAAACCCAATAGGTAATTCTCTACATACCTTTAGATGCCATTTCGAGAAAGGTATGTTCTCATTAGGCGTCTTAAAATCGTGATTAGGCAGAATAAAGCCTCTCTCAAGCATCATAGCTGTCTTGATTACGGATATAATACCTGCGATTTTTGTCTTAGTTTTCTGGAAATTTTATGACGGTCGAGTAGTACTCACCAGAAGCAGCTTCAAGATGTCCTATATTTGATTTCACGGATCCAACAAATAAGGGGTTTCTGGCGTTTCTGCCTTCCCCAAATACATTATACAGAGCGGTAGCTTCTATAGGATCTCCGACCTTAGTACCGGTTCCATGAGCTTCCACGTAGCCGGTGTCTTTTGGATCAATGCCAGCGCTTTCATAAACCCGTTTCATGAGCGATTCTACCCCGGTAAGTATTCTGAATTGCAAATTCAACTAGAATTTAATCTGATCTTACCTTGTGCCGAACCATTAGGCATAGTTATTCCTGGTGTCTTACCATCTTGGTTGATGCCACTGCCTCTTATTACGGCTCTGATGTTATCATTATCCTTTAGAGCTTGTTCTAGAGGTTTCAAGACGATCAAACCACAACCTTCACCGCGTCCATAACCAGTACCTCGGCTATCGAAAGAAAACGATCTCCCCTCATCAGAAAACAAACTGTGAATGTTAGTCAAGAACCATAGACGATACAGTTCTGAAAAGCTCACCGAGAATTCGACATTGAAATCCAATTTTCAGGTAGCATATTAAGATGACATCCACCTGTAATAGCTGATTTGCATTCGCCGTTTCGAAGACTTTGGCAAGCTTGATGTAAGGCAACTAAGCTTGAAGAGCAGGCCGTGTCCATGGTAAAACTAGGTCCGCGCAGATCAAAGAAATGCGAGATACGATTTGACTGCATAGCAAAAGCGCATCCTAATTTGTTTAGTAGGGTGCGGTATAATGTAGCTAGAAACAAATTTCTTACCTGTAGCTTGGTACATAGGGATACTCTCTGTGTCCACAAATAATGCCGATTCATACTCAGAAAACGAGCCACCGACGAAAACTCCCACATCCTTCCCAACAATTTCATGCTTAGGTATCCCAGCACTCTCCAAAGCTTCAAAAGTACATTCCAGTAAGATTCGTTGTTGAGGATCCATGGAAGTAGCTTCTTGGGCAGTAAGACTGAAGAACGGTGCGTCGAAAAGCCCTACATCTTCCTTGAGAAAATTTCCACCGGTCGCATTAAAACAACCCGCCTTCCCGGGGTTGGGGTGATAAAAGCTTGAGGTATCAAATCTCTCCTTCGGTATTTCTGACCAGCCACTTCGAGCCCTCGAACAGAGCTCCCAGAACTCATCTGGAGTGCTGACGTTTCCCGGTAGACGGCATGACATTCCAACGATTGCTATCGGTATCTGCTTCGCAGCTTGAGGCTGACTATACCCCGAGATGTATCCATCTTTGAAAGCTTGTGAATAAATATCTTTGAAGGCCTTTACTTCCGGCGCATCCCCGTTCTCTCCCAGAGCAGCTTCGAAGTTCTGCTCTGATATCGTCTCCGCAACTGCACCATTTCTACCCTCCTGGGGCGAGATCCAGGTGGTCGCTGAAGGCGCCATATCTTTTTGCTGTAATTAAAGCTGGTGTGTATTACATCAACGTTGTAAAATCACAATCAAAAGAACGCGTACATTGTTTTGCCTATATGCGCTGAAATGTCTCTTTGGACTAGTTCATGCTAGTCTTCACTTAGCCAGATCGTGTTTCAAATAATAGCAAGAACCAAAGGAAAGTTGGGTTCCCGGTCAAGCGTCGGATATGTAAATGGATAGAGTCTCGCACGGCTACCATCCCATGTTCAAAGCGGAGGTATTGCACAAACCGTGCCGATCAAATCTTGGCCCATCGTCCCATCTAACTGACAATTCATTTCGATATGATATTGACCGGCAGAGTTTGGAAACTACAAATCCGCTAGTTCTAGGGTACTTCGGAATCTCAACGCCTGCCGGGATTACATCACGTCACCTCATTTTTGTAACGCATCAGTCTGCACTTCACAATGACTCTCTCGATGAACATCCTCGGTGTGTGGTGAGCTTAGGATATACGTCTAACACCCTTTTCAAAAAGAATGCTAGAAATGCCATGGGGAATGAGAGAGAAAGCATCGACCAAACTGCTTGAGCTAGAGCGACAACACAAATCACGACCACGGGAAAACTGGTATGAAACACCACACAAACAAAAGAAGGCAAGTCAAAGTAAGCTTAAGTCACCTCGCTGATTCAAGTTACTGTCCGAGCATTTCCTTGATTTGGTTGGATGCTATGCACATATTGCAGGTGTGCAGGTGTGCACTGAACCTCACTTCGAAACATTAGAGAAGTTTAAACTTTTTGTGTGTGGCGGTGATTGAAGTGGCGCAGGTCTTTCGTTTCCCCAGCCACGTGACACGTGCTGCATCACCTCAGCTAGAAACTTTCTCTGATTACAATTTCCCCGCCACTCATGTTGAGGTGCCGCCAAAATTATCCCCAACTTTTGAAAAGCAATAGGTGACTCCAGAGTATCTCTTTCAACACCCGCTATTCTACCGCTGCTTCTCTATCCATCCTCAAACCCTTTGTGATCTGGGGGTCTACACCAAGCATTCATGCTCGAGGGTTTCTTCTTTCCTTACAGAAACAGACTGTAGTTTCCAAGTGGAGAGTCTTTTATCCGATGGCTTGACCAATAAACAGGATGTCCTTAATATCATATGCGACTCTGTCCAGACTCAAGGTTCAATTTGCCAATCTCCTCTGTCTGTGCACAACATCTTAAACTCGTTACAACATGGCAGACGTGATATGAAGTGATGTTTGTCTTATCGATGTTTCGATATGGATTACCTGAAAGTCGAATAGGCTCTTTGCTATCAAACAGGACAAATCCTTGTCCTGATGTTTCGGCATTCAAAAGTTCAATGATCCCCATAAAGCCCGCAGAAAGATCTCATCTCAAAATTTGTACAACATTTACTCTGCTAATATACTATTGTTTTCTTGACATCAAATTCCAACTGTTACTCTACTAAAACCGATTTTCAAAGACCCATAACTATGAAGTTTCTCTGCCTTTGTGGAGCATATGGAAGCTCAGATGTAAGTACCACTTTCCAATGTAGATTGCAGATGGGAAGCCTATGCTAACTTATGTAGAAATTTAGAGTGCAGCTTGGTATGTATCTTTGCCAGCCTTCAACACTACAAGGTTCATACTAACTTTTAGAACAGCTCCTCTGATTAAGGAATTAGCATCGGATGAGACTGCCGAGCTATTCTTCGCCCATGGTCCCGTTGATGCGTTCCCTCCTGAGGGATATGAGGATTATTTCGGTCCGGGTCCACATTATCGATTCATAAAGCCTGGGAATACAGAAGAAGGAGGAAGTGACCTTCTCGACCGCATTAGAAACTTTCCCAAAGGCGCAACTGCGGAAGATCAAATGCGGGAATTGATGAGGGTCGGAGTTGGCTCCGCGGCTCCTGTCCCAAATGCCAATGGTATTCATTGCGATGAGAGTGCACAAGATGCCATGGAATATTTATACGATATCATGCAAGAAGAAGGTCCTTTCGACGGCATTATTGGATATTCAGAGGGAGCCACCGTTGCGGGGACTCTATTATTACACGAGCAAAAGAGATTCGAAACCGAAGGAAGATTACCGATGTTCAAGTGTGCTGTGTTCTTCGCTGGGTGGCCTCCATTGACACCTGAATTCGATGGAATCGTTCTTGCAGATACAACCGACTTGACTATTACCATTCCAACACTCCACATCAGTAAGTTTTCCCTAAGTGACCTCGGATGCCTCGATCAACATTATCTGACTCTCAAACTAGTTGGCTCGTTAGATCCATATCTGGCAGGATGTATCTCGCTCTATAATGTGTGTGATATGGATAATGCATACCTCTTTGATCACGGAAAAGGACATACATTGCCCAGAGATCCGGAGACAGTTCGGGAGCTTGGCAACATAATACGCACAATGGGCTCAAGTATCGGACTTTTGTGATATATTACATGGAATAATGCATTGGAGCACGTATGCAAAGCGCTTGAAAAAAGGCCTTGCATTCCTGCAGTGGGCAGGCCTCACACATGCTCCGGAGTTCGGGATCACTAGGCCGTAGAACGGCAACTTTCTCTTGATTACAAGTATAATTAATACACGATACTACATTTCGGAGGCTAGATGAAAGGGTAGAGCGCTATCGCGACCTATGAATTCACAGTATATCTCATTTTTTACATCTATTAATCGGGTGTTTCTTTGGTGAAGTCGAGTGTGTGCTCTCGCAATTGATTCAACCGAAATCTTTCAGCTCGGTGCGACTCATATATCATTTCAATGCTTAACTCTGAGATCTGGTTTGAGTGGCTTCATATGGAGTTCATTCTTCGAAGTGAGAAGCAATTTTGTTTCGTGCTACGATGTGTCAAGTTTCAAAATGCTCTCAGCTATAGCCGACGTCTGCCATGCAACAGTCTCAAGTACTGTGACACACCAAAGAAAAGAAGGAGAAACTTACGTCTAATCTTATTTAACTTTTGATTTCGGCCGATCCTCTCAAGGACCGGAGAGTGAACAAACCACACCATGGCACCACATCTGTACTAGTTTTCACGTGGCATTCATTGGCCGATAGACAATGACTCGATTGATTGCATTCTCTCACATCAATACAAGTACTTCCGGGCACCCGTTTCATATGCCATGTTTCCACTCAGCCAACTGAACATGTGCTCTAGCATTCACAGCCCACGGTCAGACCAAGGGTTTCCTTTATGCACGGATGTTAGTCTGTTCCTATCCCCACCACAATTTGTAATTTTGTTCCTGAGACCTGGTATGGTTCATGATGAAACTGAGGCGCGAATATGAAACATGAAACTTTCTGGAGATATCAGCACAGGTATTGAGAGATTTTGATAGGCTACATGACCGTCCTGAAAGTGGTGATACTGTCATGAGATTCTGTGAGGAAACTTTACCTTCAGAAAGTAAAGATGGCAAAAAACAATGGTAACCACTCGCCGTCATCGGTAGGGACGTCAAATGTATCTTTATTGTCGGATGTGGACGTTGGTTTTGAGGATTGTGGGGAACCAAAGTCGCCAAAAAATGGGATGGCAAAACGAGCCAGCAGATTTCCTGGAGCTTTTTTACAAACAGATGCTCTAATGAAGGAAATCCCGTCGCCACATACCGACAAATTCAACTCACCAACATCACCAAAGCAATGGCCAGCTTCAGCGAAGGAGCCCTTGTTACAAGGAGAGGAAAATGGTCAAATAGACAGTCGGGGCAATGAGGCTTTTGATGCTCAGCAGAAAACTAAGACGCCTTACATTAGCGCAGAGTACAAGCTGGCGTTGTCTCATTTTAGAGTAAGCAGTGCCCTTATACTGGATGTCACCGCTTGACTAAGATATTTAACAGCGAATATTCTCTTACACTAATCGTAATGACAAATTACTCCTACTTGCAGCAGGAGGAGCTTCAGTACTCACTGGCATTACATTACCTCTCATGAACGTCGTGTTTGGTAAGAGCCGTGGCCCGAAATTTACGTGGTGGCTTTTAGGAGTGCTAATTCTAATTATCTAGGTGAACTTGTTGGTGATTTCAGCGGATTTTATAATCCGGATTCTGATGAAACGAAGAAGATGTTCACTTCAGCTATCAATCAAAATGTGTAAGTGGCTCCACATATAAATCTAAACAAGGTTAATACTGATGTGATAGTCTAGAATATATATGCTCTATTTATTTCTGGGCAGGCTGGTCCTTGATTATGTCGCCGTTGTGAGTAGATATTGACCACTAATTCTCCATCGTTATTTTAACACCTTTATAGCTGGGATTCCGAATGGTAAGCATTCGTATATCCGCATCAATGCGAATAGCATACCTCAATGCTCTTTTTCGCCAACCTATTTCGGTGCTTGATACCCTACCGTCAGGGCAAACAGCATCCATCATAACCATTACTGCAAATATTCTACAACTTGGCATCTCTGAAAAGCTCTCCACATTTATTCAAAGCATGTCTTTAATCTTCACGGCTTTGATAGTCGCATTTTACTATAACTGGCTGCTCACACTGGTAACCAGCAGTGGCTTAATATTCATCATTTCATTTTATTTATATACTATTCCCCGATTGGTAAAGATGCTGAAGCAAGTGGAGGAAGCTGATCAGGTGTCATCTTCTATTGCAAGTGAGGTGTTCAGTTCTATTAGAATGGTGGTTGCCTGTGAAGCGGAAGGGAAAATGGCAAAAAGATATGCTGCATGGGTGAAGGAATCTCGCCGCCGAGGTCTACTCATGTCTCCTTTGGTAGCTGTTCAGCAAGCCCCTGGTATGTTTTTTTTTTTAACAAACTCGAGCATATTCCATGTACTGACCAGCACTTAGTCTTTTTTGCGATACATGCGTAGGTCTCCTTGTCATGGCTAACATCATCTTCCGCTGATCGAGAAACTAGTATATTTGCGATGTCGTTTTGGTTTGCCATCAAATTGTACTTAGAATCGGAGATTTCTAGCGTCTCAACTATAATTATGTTTGTCCTGTCAAAAATTCACTTCTCTTGAATGTATGATACTAATGCCTTTTAGTATTTTATCATCTATAATGACTATTGTAATGTCTGTCGGGGGTATAGCAGCCCCCATTACTGCCGCCGCACAAGCCGCTGGTGCTTCAGGTATACTATTTAGTATTATTGATGCACCACAGCCGAAAACAGGCGGCGTAAAAGGTCGGGAGGTTTCTTCGAGAGAAGATATCGTCCTTGAAAATGTCAATTTCGCATATCCTCTCAGACACGATGTCAAGGTACTTGACAATCTCAATGTTCGATTTCCAGCTGGGAAAATAACCGCTATTGTCGGAGCATCTGGCTCGGGGAAAAGTACCATAGTGGGATTGATTGAGAGATGGTACGAGCTGGATGGAAACCTCATAGATAATGCACTTGTAAGTTCTAATGCTCAATCGAATGTCTGAGATTACCACTGATCAATCAAAAGACACTTTTCTTCCGAAATGGTACAATCACTGTTGGTGGCCGAAAGCTTCATGATATAGACCTGAAGTGGTGGAGGTCACAGATAGGGCTTGTACAGCAAGAACCATTTCTCTTCAATACCACTATTTATAGAAATGTGGAGTATGGTTTGATAGGTACTAAATGGGAACATGAAAGCTACGAAAAGAAGAGGAAGTTGGTAAGACGAGCTTGTAAAGAGGCGTTTGCAGATGAATTCATTAAGCGACTCCCCGAGGTAGGTCATACCAACATATCTATGATTCAACCGAATGTGAATGGTTCTAACATCAATAGGGCTACAATACAATGGTAGGCGACTCTGGGATAAAACTCAGTGGTGGTCAACGGCAGAGGCTGGCAATTGCGAGAAGTATTGTCAAGCAGCCGAAAATACTGATTCTTGACGAAGCAACAAGTGCTATTGATGTCAGGAGCGAGAGGATAGTTCAAGCCGCACTAGATAAAGTATCGAAGAACCGAACTACTATCACAATAGCACATCGATTATCTACCGTCATCAAGGCAGACAATATTGTCGTCATGAAGAAAGGGCAAGTGGTACAACAGGGAACTCACGAACAGTTGTTGAAAGATACCGAAGGTCCGTACTGGGCGCTCGCAAATGCTCAACAGTTAGGAGGTGGTGAGCTTCCCCAAAATACAGTCAATATGTCAAACGATCCAGAGAAACAAGACCTAGACTCCCCAACATTCGAGAAGATCAGTCTTGACCTTGAGGTCGATCCATCTAGCTTGGAATCGCTAACTCCAATGACGAAACACAAAACTCCTCTAGGAAGCTTTATGCTCTTCTTGTGGGAACAAAAGCCGCGATGGGTCTGGTATATTATAATGTTTCTAAGTTCATTAGGCGCTGGTGCTTCATTCCCTTTACACGCATTTTTGTTTGCGAAACTGATTTCGCTATTTAATCTATGGGGCCAGCTTCTACAGGCTCAAACCAATTATTGGTGCTTCATGTTTACGCTATTGGCCATTGGCGTGGGCATTAGCTATTATGCTCTTGGATGGTCTTCCAACACCGTCTCATTTGTGAGTATCGTCCATCGTACGCCAACTCAATGACTAATAATAGAACTAGAACATCACAGCCACTTATCGCCAAGAATATTTCCAAAATGTACTCTCGAAGCCGGTATCATATTATGACGAAGAAGAGAATTCCGTGGGTAGTCTGACAGCTAGAATGGCGAGTGATCCTACTCAACTTCAGCAATTACTTGGAATCAACATGGCAGTCGTGCTTATTTCCATGTTTAATATCTTTGGATCTGTGGCTATGTCATTTTACTTTGGCTGGAAACTTACTCTCTTGACTGTGGTGACGACAATGCCTATCATTCTAGCTGCAGGATTCTTCCGTCTTCGATACGAAACCCAATTCGAAAAAATGAATAACGAGGTTTTTGCAGAAAGTTCTAAGTTTGCCACCGAATCCATCGGTGCGTTTCGTACCGTATCAGCTCTTACTCTGGAGTCGGAGATTTGTGGACGCTATGAAAAGCTTCTGCGAAATTACACCAAGAAAGCTTTCCGCAAAGCTAGATTTTCAACCTTTATATTTGCGATGAGTGATAGTATCGCAATACTGTGCATGGCATTTGTTCTCTGGTACGGTGGTCAGCTTTTAGCCAGCCATGAATATACGCCGTTTAACTATCTAGTTGTATATTTAGCAGTTGTGCAAGGAAGTACCACTGCAGGCCAAAGTCTGAGCTTCGGACCAAATGTCGCTCAAGCTTTTGCAGCAGCAAATCGTATTCGGGGTATGAGACCGGAAGGTAAAAAGGAACACGATTCAGTGCTCTACGATTTTGCGGAAGCGGATGAGGAGAAGAATTCTCGTGGGGTCAAAATTGAACTCAGGAATATCTCTTTCAAATACCCTACTCGTGATGTTCCCGTGCTTAATGGACTAAGCATGACGATTGAGAAAGGTCAATTCGCAGCCATTGTTGGGCCCTCAGGATGCGGCAAAACGAGTATCATATCCTTACTCGAAAGATTTTACCAGATACAGAGTGGTCAGATTCTTTACCAAGACACGGATATCAAGGATATTTCTCTAGATGAATATCGTAAATCCATCTCCCTAGTCGCGCAAGAAGCTTCTCTATTTGAAGGTTCCATCCGCGAAAATATTCTTCTCGGTGTCCCGGACGAAGAAGAAATCTCAGATACAACACTTCATCAAATATGTCGCGATGCTGAAATTCATGATTTCATCTCCTCGCTCCCTGAGGGCTACAATACCGCCGTTGGAGCACATGGCGTCGCATTATCGGGTGGTCAAAAACAACGAATTGCTATTGCGCGAGCTTTGATTCGGAATCCAAGATTATTGTTATTAGATGAAGCGACGTCGAATTTGGATTCTGAGACAGAGAGAAGTGTACAGTCTGTTTTTGAGAGAACGGGTAGGGGAAGAACTATGGTTGTTGTGGCGCATAGGCTTGCGACGGTGCAGAATGCAGATGTTATTTTTGTGCTGGGAGAGGGAGGGAATGTGGTGGAGAGTGGGAGTCATGGACAGTTGTTGGGGATGAAGGGCTTGTATTGGCAGATGGTATGTTAATTTCCCCTGTTTTGATGGCTGGGTTTGGTGTGGGGAATCAATGCTAATTATTCATTGTAGTGCCAAGCGCAAGCTTTGGATCGATGAGTTTGGAGATGGGTATTTGGGTGTCTTATGGTTATTCGGTGTTGTTGTTTTGCGGGCGCATGGGTTATTGGTCTTGCATACATGGCAGTTCTGGTGTATCGGCGTGCTAGGTCTTCTTCTCAGAATGTTCAATCAAGACTCAAATTTGAAAGTTCTCTTACCACACGAGCAGTATCCAAACGTTATGCGTGCTAGTGATCCAAATAGTTTGATTGACTCGAAAACGCAAAACCGATATCTCATCATTGCTTCCTCTTATACCCCAAATCCTCCACATCCGCGGAAGAAAAAAGAAACCCTTATCTCCAGCAAGAATAGAGAAATAAGAAGAAGTAATTCTTTACTAAGCTTAGAACTAACTTCCTATATTTCAAACTTCTGAGATTTTCATCCCATCATCCCTATTACAGTCATCCAAAACTATGAGACGACTTAATGGAGTTGTACATAACTAGTGTACTGTGTATGTACTGTGTACGCGAGCTTAAACTGTGTTTGCGAGCTTAGACTTGTGTACACGAGCTTAAAGTATGTACGCGAGCTTCTACTATATATATATATATAAGCAGCCTCACACTGTATATATGATATTATACAGTGTCATTTCAAAATTCAGACATGCAACAAAACAATATAGGTCACGGGATCATCACGAGATTGATGAGATTTTGTTTGCACTGCGACTTCCAAGTGCAAACGCAGCGGAGGTAGATGAGATTAGATAGTGCATGTAATGTACCCGTAACCTGTGTGACGGCTCGGCTCGGGTCTAGGAGCCGAATAGATATGGCAGGGTAGGTAAAGAAAGTAAGCGTTTGGTTTTTGGAACTGATTTTAGTTGATATGGAGGTTAGCCTTCTCATCTGTAGCCACCCACGTTTCAAAAGTCATAGGTATTCCTTTGCTACTCCTTCACAGGAGGAATCTTTACGGCTCAATTAACAGCTACATTAGTGAACTCGAACTGAAAGGAATACAAGTGTAGCAAACAAAAGTTGCGCACTAGAACGTCTTCCATGATCATGAGTTATTTTCCTATATGTAACTATATATCACAATATCAACAACGATTATTCTACATAGCTTGAAACTTATCTATAGTATATATTGGGGAGAATAGAAAATCCCAATAAGAGCGTGGTCACGCTGCATGATAGCTCTGACATTGATCGTCATTCTAAATCTAGAAGTGAATACCGGTATAGTATACGCCGGCCAAAGATACTTTAATCATTGGCTAGACGGGCTGTTTGCAATGCGTACCACTTCCCCGACTCTGCGAGTAATCAGCCATGCGTTATGATTTGTTTTGATATGAGCATCCGAGATTATGAAAAAATTCTGTAGAAGTCCGGATTCATATGCGCGCGGCTTATAAGAAAGTGACCCAAACCAATTAAACCCAACTTGTGACGGTCGGGATTCCGAAGGTTTACTTGGCTGCCAATGGAACTGCATACGTGGCGTCCTCCCGGCACTGCTTCCTATAACAACATCAAAATGTGGGTCACTTTATTCCAATGAAAGTTGGTGGCGCCAAAAAGACCGGTTTTTCATGTGCGGATAGATGCACCACGCTGTACACATTTAAGGGAAAAGGAAATTTGTTCAAAGCGCTCGATAGTTCGAGGCTACATATACTCTGAGCTTTCCAGCACAAAGCAACCTTGAAGAATGTTTGACAACAGTTAGGTTTCGAGAACTTTCCCATGACTCGTAAAATGGACTACAGCGTACCCATCACACCATTTGATACTCCTCCAACTGTTGGCTATCCAACCCCGATGACATTCAGAAAGGTCCCGCAAGACGAAAAACCCGTCGTGCAAATCCACGATGCGACAACGCTGGAAGGGCAGCAAATTAGCGCCATCATTTCAGTCAAGAGAGCATTGAAACCCGCGGCCCTCTCTTTACCTCTTGCCAAAGTCGGCGATTATGTCGAAGTTCTGGCACATCACAATGTCAATCAAGTTGAAGTGAAGAGTATTCGTACTGGTATGACGGGAACCATTGATTGGGAGGATTTACTTCCGGTTCCATATGATGAAAAATGCGGCTGTTTGAATGGAGGATGTCGATGCATTTATGAGAGCTTGCAAGCATATTCTGCGCGTCGCCCGCTGAGGTCGATGCCCGTTTATGGTAGTCAGGATATGAGTGGAACGTATGGTATGATATCTAGCTTTCCCATCATGAGTATAGGTCTACAAAATGCTCACTATTGCTTACTCGTCGATAGTAACGATGCCTATTCAAACACCTATTTCTCCAAATCCTCCATTCCAGCTTGGCAATATTGCAACAAAGACACCCCTTGAAGTAGATGATCCCTTAACGATTGCTGGACAGACGCCCGGTGCCATTCTAGTTGTCAAACACCACGCCCATTACCCCGATGACTTTGGCCCTGTTCTCGATATGGAAATCGGAGACCATTGTAAGTATCTCGAGGCCTGTGAGCGAGGTTGGGGCAAGGTGAAGGTCAAAAATCTTCGCACTGGAAAGGAAGGATTTGTGCGGTGGGAAGTCTTTAAAAAGGTCGGTGTGAGGTTTAGGTGTTCCTGTGGTAAGGGTCATTGCTATTGCGTGTATGAGGATTTTGAGAAAAGCAAAGTCTATTGTGAGGCTCTAAGATGAAACACTTGGATCCGAGTTTCTTCGACGATGGATTGATATTACGATAAGGACAAAGATTGGTCTATTAAATAATAAACGCCCCACTTTCTTCTTGATTCTGGACTTAGTGGGCGTGGATAGTGATGTATCTCGTCGCCGAAAAGCCGCTTCAAGAGCACACGTGATTTTCAATACCAAGCTTACTAGTCTAGTGTTACGTATGCTGATGAGTTTGACAGCACAAAAAGAACCATTGTAAGCATGCATGCGGTGGATATATCACAAATTAATTAGAATGCAATATGTCAAGGCGTAGTAACACCCTCCAATATCCCAATTTGAATTTGACCAAATAGTGATTGATCATTCAAGCCCACAAATTTAGCTCTTCAGAACTGATACTCAAGGCGTAGTTGACAGGAGTAAATATGTTTGATGTATAATCTCTTTTGTCCATTGCATGACTAGGGAGCATTTCTTCTGAAGTGGTCAAGTCTGATGCTGGAGGCAGACCCACTGTATCTATAACTCTGTCTGACGTTCTATCTTTGTCGAATATCCCTCCGTGTTGCTCGTTCTCCAATATTTGAATTAATGTGGAGGTGGGGTTAGCTGATCATAAATCTCCTTCACCCATTATCCGCCTGCAGACTTGTTAAATGTGATACAGCAAATGCGTAGCGGGCTTTTGAAGTCGATAGGACGAGGGTAATGCCACAATTCGATCCTGCACTACCCCAGAAATGTAAGATCTTAGCTGGCTATATCATCCACACCGTTAACCCTCCTGACTTTGGATGACTGTTAGCCCTCATTTTGATAATACATTTGTCAAAGAGTTCTTGACGAAGATGCTCCTGATAAACACATCAACTCGATATCTTCAGGGTTTCCACGACGGTCATATACTAGCTTATGCCATCCTCTCGTATCGATAGGGCAGGAAAGAAGTAACAATCCAAAATACACAAGGCGGCAATTGTATCAAGTTGGAAGGTTTTTTGAAATCAAAAGATCTTAATATATAATTCTGATCGCGAGTCTGATATTTGAAATCTGCATGAGTCCAATGAAAGTCTTATGCTCTTGCAGAGAAGTGATATGAAAAGGCTTGAAAGGCACTTGTCTCAATGTTCTATCCATACTGGAATTCGTTTGATTGGTTTGCAGGCTAATATTTGAAAGGGTACGAGAAATATTCACTTGAACCTGAGCTCTGTCATTTAAGTAGACTAATTTAATCCCCAACTTGTCACCTTTATTAATAACAGTTGTACCAGAAGCAGAAGAATTGAGAAATTGTACTTGAAATCATCAGTAACATCATCACATCAAAAGTTTTACTTGATAAATTCATGTTACTGGACATTTGCTCGGATAAAGGTTTCTCCGTACTCCACAATGAATTACTTTCACCGCCCTGCTTCTGCTTCAAAAGCTCAAGCTCGAGCTCAAGCTTCGACTTCACAATTTCTCTTCAATTCCTCCAGATCTCATCCTCAACCAAATATGGAGAACCATCGGCAACAAGAGGAGTCATCTACATCGGCAGTGGCTTCTCCAGCCGAATCTAAAAAGCCAAGGAAGAAGAAGGTTCTGTTGATGGGAAAATCAGGTTCCGGAAAGAGTTCAATGAGAAGCATCATCTTCTCGAACTATGTCGCAAAGGATACGAGACGATTGGGTGCAACGATTGACGTCGATCTTAGCCATGTCAAGTTTCTGGGAAATTTAACACTGAATCTGTGGGATTGTGGAGGGTAAGTTCTTATCGTCTCCTGTTTTTGAGCTTCTAAATAAACAGAGAGGCGGGGCAGCTTCCTCTATGAGTTGCATTGGAATCTTGGTAGATCCTGCAAGATATAAGATCACCTTGGCCCTTTAGTGCTGCTCGCAGGTTATCGACATCTAACTCCCTGTCGCTATATTCTTTTCTGCGGTGGAATTTCAGGCTCAATATGGCTAACAAAAGAAAACTAGGCAGGATGCATTCATGGAAAACTACCTCTCCCAGCAACGTCAACATGTCTTCTCAAGTGTCGGTGTACTAATATACGTTTTCGATATTGAATCTCGAGACTTTGACCGCGACCTTTTAACATATCGCTCGATCATTACAGCACTCACTCAATTCTCACCAACTGCAAGCATTTACGTCCTTGTACACAAAATGGATCTTGTCCTTCCGAACACACGTGAGGATAGCTTCCATCAAAAAATATTAGCCGTCAGATCCAAATCAGAATCTTTCAATATCGTACCATTTGCAACATCTATTTGGGATCAATCACTTTATAAAGCATGGGCGGAAATCATCCATGATCTCGTTCCAAATCTGGGAGAAATAGAAAGACATCTCTCTTCACTCGGAACTATCATTGAAGCTGAGGAAGTGCTCTTATTCGAGCGCTCCTCTTTCCTTGTTGTTTCAAGTTGGACATCGCCAGAAGGAGAAGCAAATCCTACGACGGATCGGTTCGAGCGCCTTTCAAACATCATCAAAAACTTTAAACAAAGCACTTCTCGTTATACCGGTACACCCAAATCCGCAGAACAGTTTAGCCTTTTTGAGTTGAAGATGCCAAACTTTTGTATGTTCGCTGTTAAATTTACAACCAATACCTATCTAGCGGCCATCCTTCCACCTGGAGAGGAACGATTTAATTGTGCTCTAGAGAACGCGAAGATAGCTGCGAGGGACTTTGAAGAGCTTGACAGTCCAGCGAGGAAAAGTGCTGATAGAGGGGCAACAACTACTGAGGCTGGGGTTATTTAAACATAACATGTGGTTCAATTGACAGATAGATGGTACTTTCAGATATGATGATATGATTTGATGGAAATGGGTGATGGCATGGCGTTGGATTCCGGAATACCCTTGGCGTTTTATGTACAGGTATACTTACAAATGGGCAGGTGAAGGCCCAACTATATGGTCGACTATAAGTTTTACATAAAGTTTTGATGCTAATTGTACTGTGGTACAAAGTTTACGCCCAATCTCGCGTGATGAGATCCTACCATATTGTACATACTCACACGAGACAGTGAATTGAGCCAATCAAGAGTGTCATAATTACAAAAAAATTGTTGAAGCTGATCTAAGAACCAAAAGAGTTCACCCAAGAAGATCAGATCACATTGGCACCCTTCACTACCGAATACCACTGATCTAGTAGTCCTAGAGCCCGACTGCTAAATCCCCTTGAACATTCATGAAAATGAATCCAAATCCACACCTAGGCCACAGAGCGTGGTATCTATATAACATATTAGCATATATCCTACACAACACATCTCTCTCTCTCGCTCAAAAAAAAAAAGAAAAGAAGAAAGAAAGAAAGACAAAAGAAACAAAAATCAAAAATATACACACCAAGATAATACTGCTTAGCCACCGCCTCCGTCCAACCCCCCATAAAAGTATCCACCGTATTCACCCCCGCCTCAAAATCATCCTGTACAGCCCACAACGGCAACTCACTCCCCACATCCGTACTCCTACTCGCAAACATCCCACTCCACTGATTGCCATTAGCATAGATACCCCATTTCAAGCCCGTCGCTTTGATCGCCGCAACCCATTGTTTAGCTAATTTTTCATTAGCTGCGGCGCCGAGATTCCATGCGTTACACGCGGATGTAGAGGCCGATGTGGGTTCGATGTCGAGCCAGAGCATCGTTATGTCCATGTTGTTGCTGGAGATTACTTGGAGATATTCGGATATTTGCGTGCTGATGCTTTTGCATTGGGGTTCGTTGCCGGTGGGGGTTCCCGTGCATGGGAATAGGTAGGAGTCTATGCGGGTGAATCCTGCTGCTTTGGCGTTTTTGTAGGAGGTGACGAAGTTACTGTCGACTTGGCCGCCGCTGCCGCATGCTTGTTCGTAGCCGCGGATGACGACGACGTCTTTGGTTTTCTTGGCGCATTGGAAGAATGTCGTGCTGCCGAGTTGCGAGATGTCGAAACCTAGGGAGCCGGTGCTTCCGCTACTTTTGATGCAGCACTGTTGGGTTTTAGTATGTGGTTTAATGGGAGTTTGAAGAATGGGGAGATTTGTACTTCGATATCGCTGGGTCCGGGACAGAGACCACTCTTGAAGGTGCCTCCGGAGCAGGATACAGATGTTGCTTGGCATGTTCCTTGTCCGCTAGAACATGTTGCTACGCAGCATTGATTGTTTGCGGCGCCAGGGCATGCACCTGCTATGTATTTCCCGTTGGTACAGGAAGTAGAAGTGCTCTGGCAGAAACCGGGACCGCTTGATGTTGAGCAGGCGGTTGATGCTCTGGGGATGAGAGGGTTACTTGAAGCTACAGCAATGATACCCGTGAAGGCGATGAAAATCTTAGATAAAGACATTATTGAAGATTTCTGAGCCGTTGACTGAGGGAGATTGGGAAGAATAAATGAGAATGTAGTTGAGGATGAGGAATAGGAAGATACTATATGTATATCCTTATATCCTCATTTTTTCTCAACGATCAACCTCATTAAGGATGGGATCGCCAAACTCCATTTCCACATTCTTCAGCCTCTCAAAATCTTATCGTTATTTTAAGTTTATTCCCGTTTTTGAGTGGTAGCGGTAGGTAGGATTATAGAATCCTTTTGTCAGCTCCTGTGCCGGTATGGTGCTATTGCGGTAGGTAGCATCACAGAATCCTTCCGGAGAGCCCATCAAAGAGTGTGACTATGGGGCCTTACAGGGTATCTCCACTACCACATGCTATAAAGAGGTTAATCGAATCTGGTGAATCAATCGAGATTAAGCCCAGTAAGTGTGCGTTTCAGCCCCTGTAATTTAGCGTTTGAATACTCTCACTAGAGCTGTAAATCGTTGCTTAAAGAAGGATAATTGTACTGGATCGAAAATTGAAAATAATCTAAAGTTAATATATACTAAAGTTTCATAGACTGTGTAGTATGTACTCAGCTCGAAATAATCGAGATTTAAACTGTAAGTTTGTTAGGGGGTACACTAGTGTTGATACTTTGTAAGGTTCTCTCGGGCCATATGGTTGTAGGTGCGCTCTCTGTAATCTCCTCCAGACGCGGGGCGGGAACTTGGGTAACCTTAGGCAACTTTGTGTTACATTCAGCCGCTTCTCGTTAGATATTACCTAGTAGGTAGGTAGGTGGGTGCCTGGACTTCTTGGTGTCATGTCATGCTTTGAGGAAACTGGGATAAATTGAAAAGAGCCAAAACTTCTCAGGTTGTTCCCTTGTGTAACGTAGATCATGTCGGCTTACCTAGGTATTTAAGCTTGGCTTTGGTTGTGACGCTGTGTGCTGCAACTTCCCAGTACAATGGTTAAGGTTGTCACCGTTGTATATCGATCTATTTTTGATCTCAAAGACTACCGAATCTTATTTTTATGACCACTGATACTACGATAACCTGATACCAATCGTCGTTGCATATGAGGGGTGTTTCCTTGGAGGACACCAGCAAGATCCTTTGGTTACATATCTAGCTGAGGTAAAGACAGTATTTGACTTACCCTTGATGTATATCCATTCCCAATTTATACCGCTGACATTACGAGGTTGATCACCACAACTCACTGCTCTTCAGAATGTTCCGGAAGCCTGGTGTAGACAGATACACAATAATTCCACTTGTATAACACAATGTTCAAAACCTGGGTATTAGTCTTAAGATGGCCAAAATTGTGATTGTGAATCGCGACATAGCGGCAGACGACCTTGAAGGTTACATTAAAGCGCAGAAATTCGAAACGACGAGCCGGATAAATTTTCGCTACCTTTGCTCTGACTCTCTTCCCTGAATATCCCGATCGTCTCCGTAGAAAAACCTCAAAATTGCGCCAGCAACCTTGATTCCATCGTGTCTTAGATGCGCGGTGTCTTTTCCTTGCTCCGCTACGTTCATATCCTCAATTCCACCACTCTCAACACGCATATCGATCTCACGATGTACAACTTGTTCATCAAACCCCAGATGTCCCTGACTGGTAAACAGCCTTTCCCTCAAGTACAGACCTTGAATCTTTGTATGTTCCGTACTGGCCCAGACCTCAACTCTGTCATCCTCAGAGAGCAAATCAGTTGTCGATGCCGAGGGAACGGTAGTCACCTGATCCTGATGCATTTGGTGTAGACTGAGTTTTTTGTCTTTCGTCTTGAATAATCTTTGGCCAACAGGAGTCAGATCCATTGGCGTATGTGCCAATTCCCAATTCCCGGCTGGTTCTTGTTCCACTTTTGCTCCCAATGCCCGTGACAATATCTGGTGACCGAAACAAACACCACTAAATTTCATATCCTTCCGTTCAATCCACAAAGTTCGCAAAAAATGTAGCAGCTCTTTAATCCATGGATTGTCCCCATGAGCATCGTACATGCTCCCTGTGATCAATATTGCATTGATAGATGGATCAATATCGGAAACCTTGGGAGAATGCCCATAATGACCATTTTCAGGATCATCAACAACATAATGCATTTCTGTCTCTATCTCCAATGGTGGATCGTGTTCTTTCCCAGCCTGTTTAAATAATGAGTTTAGAATATCACTATATCCACCCTTATTCTCCTTGACTTCTGGATGTGGCGAATCTGTCTCCAGAACCAGCATTCGGATAGGATCTCCGGATTCTTGAATTGTCATGGTTTTGAAACCAAACTGGTCCAATCTGAAAATATGTCGCGGTGGAATTATTCGAAATGAGGGGATTGGTTGTTGTTTTATTGCTGAATGAAAATATCCGTTCTTTGACCTTAATATCTGGCCAACCAAACGTTCAGGGCGAAATCTCATGATATTATATATCTTGAATAAAGCCCATGGAGAATGCGATATAAATCAATAAGGGCAACAAGGAATTCCCCATACCCGCTTAATTCGGCACTTAGCCAGTGCTGGGCATTTGGCACCGTCATGATGTACCACCTCTGCCATCATTTTTTATATGATGGAGAACTTTCCTTACCATTTTCTATATTTTATTGGCCCTATGGAACAAAGGGTTTTCTATGACCTTATGCCAAGTGCCAAGCTAAGACGCCAGAGCTTGTTAGCTGGTCAGTGACGTCAAATCATTGGATTCTTTATCCAACAACCCCCTTAAATATTATTATGTTCTTCGAAAGTCACGGGAATTATTTGAAAACATTCGAAATGCTTTGGTTGTTGGCGATGGGTGCACCCTTATTATGGATCGTGAATATTGACAGCTTGATCCACGTTCGAGGTTTTGTCGACTCTAAATAGTTTTGGCAGCGGGAAAAGAACATGAGCTAATTCATGCCTAACAGGGGGGAGACAAATGCATTCCATCGCTTGTTCAACCATCAAAACCACATTGAAATGGTTGCAGCCCGAAGACCGAGCTCAGTATCCTTTATCAAAAAAAATATTAGCCGCCCTTCAGCTGGTCAATTCCGGACATTTCGCTGGGTAAGGTAATGAACTCCTCACAATGGTCCCCACCATTCACAGAATTTCGCTTTATTTGTCGAGATCCTGTAGCATAACTCCTTGATTCTCTTTGCCTCTACAACGTCAGAAAACTACATCCCAAAGTGCAATTTTTTTCCATTGGGTTGGATCGACCGTACTTCAATGAAATCGAATCTTGGTCATGAGCGGGAACCATGTCATATGAGTATTTCCACTAAAACGGGGACGGGAAGTTTCCCACAGAATCGGAAAAACACAAGGATTTTCATGCACAGCGGCCACTGCATAAGTATACCTAGTGTATATTCCTGTCGGCTCGCCTTATCGGCACACTCTTTCAATTCAGATGATCCACCAGCTCATTCAAGCCAATCTGTACCGAGACACCGACAAGGGTCAATGCATGCATGCTATAAGAATCAGCTGGATGGTCGGTCGATTCGGATACTAGAACCTTGTTACATTTGAGTACACTTACAGTGTCTCCTGCAGCGCCCGTCCTGTCATCTTGAATCCTCCTTCCAGAAAAATAACCTCGCAAAAATGTTCCTGGTAATAGCGCCTCCACCACAGGTGAAACGAGAGGGAGAACAGATATCGGTCCCACTGCGAAAGAGAAGAGGATTACCAAAAGTTCACACAGGTTGTACGACATGCAAGTCTGACTCCCTGACTAGTCTACATCCCCTTTCCCAAGTGCTGACACGCAATTTACCAGAGCTCGACGAATCAAATGTGATGAAGGGAAGCCGGAATGTTATCGCTGTAAAATATTTTACAAGGGAACTTCTCAAAAGTGTGGTTATTTAACACGTGAATTTCCAAACTCTAGACAAGCTCTCGCAACCAAGAGAAACATCCTATCTAACAATGCCACTGAGAATATTAGATATGAACCTATAAGGAGCATTTCTGATGTTGAATTCGAAAGCCCTAAACATTCCCAATATTTTCGATTTTTCTGTAGTGATGTTACGACTCAAGTATTTGGTGGATTCTTTTCTGAGTTGTGGAACAGTGTTATCCTTCAAGCATGTCATCAGGAACCCTGTCTTCTCCAAGCTGTTTGTGCAATTGGGGCTCTCAGTAGGGTAATGAAGGCACGCAAGCAAGGTCAGATTATGACCATGAACGATGATTACAGATTCGCCGTACAAGAATACGGCAAAGCTCTCGGAGGAATCAAAAAGCTCGTACCGATTCGTATGACGTTGCTTGCTGCACTTCTTATATTTTCATTCGAGAATTTTCACGGAAATCATATGTCGGCAGTAACTCAGATTCAGAGCGCCGCGAAATTACTTCAGGATTGGATGAAAGATCGCGAAAAGCGTCAGATAACGGATCGAACCATATCACCAGCTCCCGATGTTATTGAAGATGCCATTTTTGCCACTTTTCATAGTACACACATTGGGTTAATATCTGCGATTGATCCCACCATAGCTGAAGCCCAAGATATCATGCACGGGACTCGAATGTATATTCCTAGTCCCGTTCCGGTCATGTTTACAAGCATTGATGATGCGGGTTACATTTTTACGGCGATTTGTAGACAGCTTATCAGCTTTCTCATGGACACGGCATCGCTTATTCGAGGAGAACAAGAACCTGCCAAAGAAGATATAACAGATTCAGCAATGTGGAATAAACGAATGCTCGATTGGTCTCCGGCAATGGCAGAGTTTGAGGGGATTTTAAACAATCTTGATCAATGGCAGCTTGCTTTCGAACCATTATTCAAGCGCACAAAAAAAGACGATATCAATTTTATTACAGTCTGCACGTTGAGAGTTAACTGGTTAACAACACGTAACGGATTTCACTTGGCTTTCTTCCCCAACACACCTGCTCATGTCTACCGAGCCATTTTTGAAGAAGTCATCGAAATTTGCAGGACAGTCGTTGCACATCCTAGTTTTGAAAAGGGCTTTGTATTCTATACTGGTGTTGTGCCATCACTGGCCGCGGCGGCCAGGTACGGAGCTATTTCTACTCGGAAAGAAGCTATTAAATTGCTGCTAGCTATTGTACCTAGGAGAGAGGGTAATTGGGATGCTGCAAATTGTGCTAGAGATGCTATTGTGGCTTTGAAGATGGATATCAAAAATAGAGATAATGTTCATAGGAAATGAAGAGGGTTGTGAAAGAGGTAGAGAATAGAATGTGATGCGTTCTTCATGGGATTAAAATGGCTAAGAGGTCAAATCATGGAGACCATTCTTATATACAGTAATGGATGTTCTCTTAAACAAGAGGGTGCAGTCTGTGTTGGGATGATTGTTATGGCAGGGAAATCTTTTGTGGAGGATAGGACAAAACCTGCTATAGTGGCCCGCTGGGAAATTTTAATTCAGAGCATCAAGCCGTCTAAAATGCAGGGACTTGATTTATTCTGTCTATACAGAACCAGTTGGTTAGAGCGGATAAGGCGTATATTTGTAGCTTTATTATCATATGATATATGCAGCGGGTGTCTGCTGTTTTTCAAACAGTACGAGTTCGAAGCTGGGTCTCGATAAAAGGATTGGACAATAGTCACTGTTCATCTTGGATAGACTCTCAGATATCATTTTGTTATTTCTTTTATTGTTTTTGAAATATGAAAAATACTTAATCTACCTATTTCTATACTTGATTTTGTTAGTTTTGTGAATTTTTGTTGTTTGTTCTAGATGGCTGGATGATATCAAATGATATATTAGACGAATCTAGAATTCTCAACTCCTTCCCTAAGCTGACAAGTCTGGAAAATCTTTTCCGATATACTACGATAGTTGCCTAATAATTAAAATTACTTTTGTTTGTTTTCCAGATAATGGTTGCGGGGTAGAGGATACTGGAGTGGTCGAGAACGAAAAGGAATAATTATATGACAATCAAAATGATAATCAAAATGATGCTGGTTTCCGAACAAAGCAACCAACAAGAAAAGCAAAATCAATATCCACCCAAGTTTTCATGGATAAGTTCCTGCAGGCATCTTACGCTTTTGACAAGATTCTGTTGGGTTTCTGTTTGTGGGAATACAAGATTATTCACTTGGAAAAATATTCAATTATGATTGCCTTGGAAAGATTGCTGTGGAAACCATTGTTTTTGATGTACTTCTGCCATAGCAAAATAGGAGCACAATCACAAATATTGTTCTTAATTGCTGAAATTACTCAAAAATGAAGAGCCCGCAGCGAAGAATAGATGAGAAACTTATCCCAATAAAAAATAGTTATTCTTCACCACACTGTAGCCTACACAAACGAAATCCATAACATCGACTTCATTGAAGTCTTTCAGCCTTGAATTATCACAAAACATTTAACAAATAGTATCAGAATATTCCTTCAACCTGATTTTCCCCTCGCCGCTCTTTCCTCTCGCTATTTTGGCTGTGCAGAATTCACTTATTTAAAATCTTAATCTCGATTTATTTTCTCAATATCCTTCTTCTTCTCCACAACCTCAATAATCTTCTACAATTTCTATCAACTTTGATAATGCTTTGATCGTCTATCTATTTTCATCTATTGCTGAATATCTCTCGAGGATTGTGAGTATTCTTCTTCTTCTTCTTGCTACTATTACTATATACTTGTATACAAATCTTGGGAGATATGGGAACTGATTTGGATTTTTAGATCGTCGTCGTAGATCGCACAAGTCGCGCGCACACTACAATATCAAATCAAACAACAAATACCAAACACCTACCCAAACAAAGTAAGATACTATTCTTCCTATTACCTCTCTCTATCTATCCTCGAGCACTTCTCTCTGTCGATCATATTCTTGTCTATCTTGACAAATACATTCTCCTGGTAATTGTCGCGAGGTGGGCTTGTGGGATCTTCCGATCTACTTCACCTTTGCTTGGGCATATTCACATTCACTGTTTGTCATGTACTAGCGATTTTGTCATCGCTATTTTCTCCTCTTACTTCCACTTCCTTTCCAACTTCTTCTACTTCCTTTTCCACTTCCAGCTCTTCTACCCTCTACCTTTTCCTCACTCTTACTACTCGGCTTCATATCCATTATACAACTAACCAAACTCAAATAATCATACATTCATACTGATATATCTACCACAGAACTTCCAATAACGCAGTCATGCCTAATTGGAAAACCTATGAAGCTTCTGGTATGTTTATCAGACACACTCCTCTTCAACTATACTTACTCGATGGTTACAGTCCGCCTCCTTTCCGCCATCGTCGCTGCCCACCCTAATCTCAAGCTCGATTACAATGGTTAGTGAAAATTTCCTCATAACTTTATCTTCCTCATCGGTTCAAACGCGTTTTCAACGATCTTTAAAAATTGTTCATTTCTTTTGTCTTTGGTTCCTGGTTTTACCAGGGGCATCCGGATGTTGCGGAGATGAGTCGAACTATCATCAAATTTGGACACGAATGACTGGCATCAAACGAAATGCCGAACTACTTCGAAAAGCTGTCGAAGCCGGTGTTAATCCATCCACTGTCAATCTCGAAGATGGTGCAATCGTCAGGAAAGGTATCATCGTGGGGCATGAGTTATTTTTGTTCATCTTTTGTCCTTCGAGCACATTACACATTTTTCCTGCAATTCTTCTTGTTTCTATATTGATTTTCGTGTAGAAATCAGTGTTCGGTTTGGAGGAATTGTACAGCCTCTGCACTTTACAACAGATTTAGGCGTCTGGAGTCAGATGCCAAATTAATCAACGCTGCCGTTGACAGAGGAGAAGATCCCATCTTTGTGAATGTGGGCGATACCAATGGCAATTTTGCCTGCAAGGGAAAGGGTGGTAATGAGTTGATATTTATTCTCATTTCTCAACTTTTACATCACACAAGCACATGTTTATCCCGTTTGCCTGCACTAATTTCACGCTAGCGATTTCTGAGCTCATGGGATCGGCAACTCCAGCTAGTCATATCCAATCTCAGCACCGGGAAACTATTAAGCTACTTAGCGAGCGTTTGATTGCCATGCGTGATGCTGGTGAGGATTGCAAGGATGTCGATTTGACAGACTTGGGTTCTCGCAGATACAAGGCTGGTCAGGAAGTTCTGTCTATGTTTTCAGAACTTTCCTTTACATCTTCACATAGCACCAAGCACCTTTCTTTCGTCTTTGAATCTCACTGATATCCCCGTTAGTGGTTGCTGCAAAAATGGGATCAGATGTCACACCCAATGGAATTAAAGCACAATTTTCTCGAAGCTTTAAAGTTTTGGCTGCTCGTCAGAATGCTTTATTAGATGCTGACAAAGACCCCAAGGATGCTAGTTTGGATAACTTGGGTAGTCAACAAAAGCTTGGTGGTATTTTCGCTCCCGAAAACTTTGTTTATTTTTGCGGAACATCATCACATTCCCACAACACCATACACACTTTCCTATCGTTTGAAAATAACTAATCCCAACTCCAGAGGTTGCCAAGTATATGGGCTCTGATGTCACTGCTCTAGCTGTCAAGATGTGGTATAATACCAAAGTTAGAGCTCTTTCACGTCGTCAAATCGCTATGGTTGACGCCGGTGAAGATCCTTTGGATGCCTTAAACAGCTTGAAAGGTGGTCAGAAGCTCTTTCAATAATCTGCATTCAGTTCTCAACATCTCATTTCACCACAGCACATACACAAGATTCCATTATGTTTGAGTTACACTGATGTGAAAACCACAGAAACTGCTAGAATCATGGGATCAGACACCACTGCTTCATCTCTCAAACATCATTTTCAACGCACAGTCAAGCTTCTTGGCCGTCGTCAGATGTCGATGCTTGCAGAGGGTAATGATTCTAAGGATGTCAGCCTTGACAAGCTAGGCTTAACTGAATCCAAAGGTGGTCAGAAGTTCTGTCTTCATCTACTCTAGAGTTTTTAGGAACCATTCATCACAGCATATGCATCAAAAATATCACATCATCGTTTGGACAGCACTGATACGTTAACTACTAGAGATTGCTGCAATAATGGGATCAGATGTTTCCACTGAAGCCATTAAACAACAAATTGGCAAGCGTATTAAGGTCATTGGCAGTCGTCAAACCAAAATGCGTGCAGCTGGTCAAGATCCTAAGAATGTCGACTTGGAAGATTTAATGTCTTCCAAGAAAGACAAAGGTGGTCAGGAGTTCTGTCTTATCTTCTACTCTCTACTTCTCCACCTCATATCACACAACACTTCCATTGACTTCACATCCAACCATGACTGATTAATAACAGAAATGGACAAACTTGTGGGAGATTTTACTGTTGGCGGTATTCGATTCCAATTCGATACCCGCTACAAAGTTATTGGTGAAGGTCAAAAAGCCATGCTGGCTGCTGGTCAAAATCCATCCGTCGTTGATATTGTCACTAGTGGCAAGACTGCTTAGAAGTTCTACCATGTTTTAATACTTTTTTGATCTATTCCCTTGCACTTTCATACACAAGATCACAAATCTGTATTAAGCACATATTAACTTTATCCCAGAAGTTCAACAATGTTTTGGTTCAGATTCTACTGTGGGAGGAATCAAATTCCAATTTGCTACCGCGATCAAGAAAAATGTTGATCAGATTCGCAGTGCGAGAGCTGCGGGCAAGGACTGCAAGGATATTATGTTCAATTCTAATGGTCTCTTGGATTCTTTCGATTTTTTCTTTCATGCTCATTTACACACATATTTCCCTAGCACTTCACAACCATCGTGTTCTGGTTATTAATGTTAGTCAACAGAAATGGCGAAGCACTTCGGTTCTGATTCAGACGTCAACTCAATGAAATGGCAATTTCGCGGTATCAGAGCTGGTGCTAAGATACAACAAGATGCGTTAGCCAACGGAAAGGATCCCAAAGACTTCAACGTCCTTGTTAATCCCGACTCCAGAAAGCGCGATGGCAAGTCTGCTTGAACAACTAATACTTTCTGATTCTTTTCTTTCATTTCTTTCTTTCCTTAACAAAAAAGCTCAGAATTAAAATTAGTCTCCTCATAGAAATTTCCAATATGTTCGGAAAGGACTCTACCAAGGGCGGAATCGAATTTCAATTTCGAACTCTTAGAGCCAATGGTGCTCGCCAGCGCGAAGCTTTCGAAAATGGCATTGATCCACAAACCCTCAATATTGGTGCTATGAATGGCAAATGCGAGAACTTCCCTATTACATCTTTCCAAGATTTCATTATCTAGCACTCACACTCATTAGCACTACATTTCCTTGCTTAACTATTCAATACATGATAAATATTAATATACATCATAGCAATGGCAAAGTGGTTGAACGACGGTCGTACCGCATCTGCTTTGGAGCATCAATTTCGACCCATCAAGGCTGCTGCTAAGAATGCATCATGCAATTCCCCCTGTTCCTTTAGCGTTGCTTTACACGCTCTCCGTCAAATTCTATCCTTATTTCATATTTCATATCGTCTTACCATCCATCCATCATCGCTACCACTCATCTCTACAGGAATATCCTACTAACATCTTTCAGCCACCGCCGAAAAATTCGGTGATGGTACAACAGGTAAGGCTATATCCACCTGATTCGAAAGGTATGTCCCCCGTTTCTCCTCATTCTCACAATTTTTACCAAAAATCTAACAAACCCAACAGAATGCTCAAAGAACCCGCCTGGGATCTGAACTCCCAACCAAAAGGTACTAACAACCCCCTAGGAAGCACCCCCAAAAAAACCCGCGCACCGCGTAACCCCTCCAAGAAAACCCCCAAGAAAACCGCCCTATCCAGCAATGAAGAAGGAGACGACGATTCTGATCTCGAAATGAATACTCCCTCTAAGAAATCCTCCCCCGTCAAAAAAGAATCTATGAATAAAGTTAAAGGCGGACGGGTTGAGAAGAAAAATGGAACTCCTGCTCGTGCGGCTAAGAATACGGTTAAGAGTTATATTGATAGTGATGATGAGGAATATGATGATGAGTTGATTATTAAGGATGAGGATACTAATGCGTATGATTTTGGGCGCGCGGCGGATGGTGATGAGGATATGCTTGGTGGTGGTGGTGGGGGATTTTTGGGTCATGGTCATGGTAATGGTCGGGGGAAATGGAAGTGGTGGGTTTGTGGAGGAGGAGAATGATTTTTTTGATTCGGAGTCTTAGGTTGTTATATTTTGGGTGGATGGGGGTTGGTGATGAGATAAGATGGGTGGAATGGGATGGGAGTCTATTACTTTGCTGGTTGATTTGAATAGGAAGCTGGTGCTGAGGTATTCAGTCGATGCTTCATATTGGCCTTCGACACTCTTACCCTTTTCTTTTCTAGTCAATTGGCTTTCGACTTTCGACCTCCTCATCTCATCCCATAACGCCTCATCTCTACAATACCATACCCTCACTTACCAAAACCCTCTCACAAATAAGACGAACACATCAATTTTCCACTCCAAATTTCACGCATTCAACTCCTTTCCGCCAAAATTTACTTCGTTTACTTTAGTTGGTTGGCTTCTTCAATCTCGTCGTTTACCTCTTCACGGAAATTTACTCAATTCAGCTGTTCATCACTTCACTACTTCATCCCATTTCAACCTCCGTATCACAATTCGTTCGCATACTCTCACTCATTCTCACTCTCAGCAAACAAATCATCATCACATCACATCAGCACTCAATAATATCCTACCCTACTGCAGGGACTTACTTGATGATTGATTGATACTCAGTTACTTGCTTAACTTCTCGCTTGGGATTTATTTCTTATTTCCTATAGGAATAAGAATAAGAAGAAGAAGAAGAAGAGATAGAATGAGGGATGTGGTTCCTGATCTCGAGTTAATTCTTGAGTTTTTCTCCGCGGATTTCCGAGGATGGGAAGGGGATAGGGATGGGGATATAAACGGATGAATTGATGAATGGATAAATGGATGAGCTATTGATCTTTGGAAAAAGCATTGCTGGATTTCATTTCTAGTTTTTTTTCTTTTCAATTTTTCCTCTTTTAATTTTTTAATTTTTGGTTTTTTTTTTTCATTTCTTTGGTTTCATTTCATTTACTGCTGAATTTCGGGGTTGTGGTTGGGGTTGGAGTTAATTATTCAATGAATTGATGGACAGAACAGAGGAAAGATGGATGGGTGGATAATGATATCAGCAAGGAAAGGGAAGACAGAGAAGAAGGGCAGAAGAAGATATGCTTGTGCTTGTGCTTATGGATGAAACGAAACGAAATGGAATGATATGATGAATTGAGAATTGACGCACTAGGACGGATGGGCTGGAATGGGAAGGAAAGAATGGGATGGGATGAGATGCGCATATCTGATTTCTTTACATATGTTTCTGTTTCTTTTCTTTGGTACTTATTTTTCTTTTAATTTCTTTTAATTTGGTTTCCTTGGTTCGGTTTGGGTTAGTTGGTTTAGTTTAATCAAGTTATTTGAATACAATTTTTTTTTAATTCAATCACTTCAATCATTTCTTTAATTTGATTCAGTTCGGTTAGATATAATAAGTGAATGAATGAATGAATGAATGAATAAATAAACTATAAACGAATTACTTTTCTATTAAAATGATTTATAATTTTATATTTAATCTTTAATACACAAATACACACTCACTTACCCTCTCGCTCGATTAATAAGTAAATCAATCCACTTTTCTCATCTCTCCTATCTCATCTCGCCTCCTCTCACCTCATGTCGCCTCTATCCTAACCCCTTTAAATCCCTCTTTCTCACCTCCTTAATCTAGTCTAATTTCACCTCTCTACTCTTCAAATACAATAAAGAACTTTACATTCATTTTTTATATTTACCCTACACACCTGCGCCTACGCCAACAACCATTCGCGTTATGAGCACACCTACAAGTACACGCACAACTATATACTTCCGTACTGTATCCTTTAATATTGCGATTATAAATGCATCCCTAAATCCATTGTATCGCATCGCATGGCATAGGATCCAGCATCCAGCATCCATCGCAATACATTGCAACATCTACCACCCACCTCAATTCAAAAGAACATCCCATAAACCCTCACCTTCAACATAAGCATGATGAATAACATTAACCAGCCAAACATCCTCTTTAATACCATCAATAACCTTCCTCGTCTCACTATCCTTTCCATAAACCCTAGCCCATTCACCCCAAATACCAAAAGCTTCTTCAGCCCAAGCTCTAAAACTAACTTCTTCAATGATCGTTGGGGTGATGATTTCTTTTCCTGGGAATGCTCCCCATGTAACTGCGTTTGTACTTCCTATTGCTTCATCACTAGATATAAAATCTCCTTTGGCATTTGAGGCGTAGAAGGAGACGGTATCACGAAGAGCAGGGGATGTAAGTTTAGCTTGGAGGGCTTCCCAATCCGAAGTAGGGAGGAAAAGTTCTACAAAAGCTTTTTGAAAAACGAAACCATTTTTAGGTCCCCATCCAAAGATTGAATCGGTGGATTTGACTCCATTGACAGCTGGTTGAGAAGCCACTGTCCACCAACCTTTCTTATTCAGACTGAGGAGTTGTTTTTTGATAGAGTTGGTTTCTTCATTAAGACCTTCTTCACTCCAAGGAATGGCAGTGAGTTGACCTTCTAAGTGACGAATGAAGATATCGGTAATATCAGCTCTGGAACTCGGATGACCCCATAATTTGATAGCTTGATTGATAGACATGTGAAGTGAAACACCATATCCATCAATTTCTCCATAAGCAGGAGAACGAGCATCACCCCAGCGACCATTAGGAAAGTCATCCCATGTGGCTTCTCGACCAAGACTACCTTCCCCTTCACTTATTGCAAGAGTATTGGCTCGAGAATTAACCGCCTCAGCTGGAACACCAGCTTCTAGTGCTGTAGCTTCAAAACTAGGATTTGAGGTTTGTGGTGCGGTAATTATGATACGGTTGTAAGGATCAGATCCAACCGATGATCGACGTCTCGAACTACGTCTGTGAGAACCACTGTGAATAGACAACAAATCTGCGATATCAGGAATAGTAGGAACGTATTCTGGTTCCAAAGCCGCAACAGTTTCAGCATCCGGAATGAGTTCGGTTCGTTCCAAGATGAAGGATACTGCTTTTTCCAAATTAAGAGTATAGAAATGAAAACCTCGAGGACCAGAATACTGTGATTTTGTACTTTTCAAATGTTCAACCATTTCACTCAAAATATCCACTCCTACTTTCTTCACCATCTCATCATCACCTCTAACTTCATCCAATCTTCTTATAATATTCGTAGGTAGTTTCGCATGGCTAAGTTTCGTAGTTCGCTTGATCATTTGGTAACTCTGTATTGGCATCATACCGGGTATGATTGGAATGGTTTTGAATGCTCCACTTGGGTGATCTCGTAACCTTTGTTCAAATGTATCGTATGCATCCACATCGAAGAATAATTGAGTCATGATGAAATCCGCGCCCGCTTGAACTTTTTCAACCAAGTAAGGCAAATCATGTTCGAGGCTCTGTCCTTCTGGATGTCCTTCATCTGCATGACCTTCTGGATACGCCGCCACTCCCACGCAAAAGTAATCCCCATATTGTTTTCTAATGTATCGTACCAAATCAATTGCCCATTCAAACTCCCAGTCCATGGCAGGTAAATCACCATTCTTCTCATCCACAGCACGATATTCGTCACTCCTCGGCGGATCACCTCTCAAAGCCAATATATTTCTAATTCCCAAAGCTTTCGCATCTTCCAATGCTTGATCCACCAATGCTCGACTCATGTTTGTGCAGGTTAAATGTAGACACGTTGTGAGTCCTAGATCTCTCTGGCATAACTCCGCGAGCTCCAATGACTTGGTCGCAGTAGATCCACCGGCTCCCCAAGTAACGGTGACGAATAGAGGCCTTAATGCTCGAGACATTCGATCGAGACGAGCGCGTAGATTCGAGGAACCCATTGAGGTCTTTGGTGGAAAGAATTCGAGGGAAAAGTAATTGGTGTCTGGCGGCAATGCCGCAATCTTTTCTGTAATTTTCTCCATTTGGTTGGATTTATATCTTCACGAATTCCGTCAAACGCGATCGGATAATTGTTGAATTGATCGAAGTATTTCTTGTTGTGTTGTATCTTTGAATTTGTTGTTGGATTTATATGATGCAAGGCTGGTTGATGAATGAATGGCGGGGCTACTTTTTTCTTTAGTGGGATGCTATCAAGTGATGATAAAATTATGTAGTAGGGAATACCGCCACTTGAGTACTCCGTGCTGTACTTGTGCTGTACTTGTAAGGATTGATTAACTTATCTGGGACGATAGATCTAGAAATTGACACATATATAAAATCTCCTTTTTACTTCAATTCATCCACTCTTCCCAAGAAATTACTCATAATTTACAGAAAAAGTCATCTATACATTCATTACTAAATTCGCCCCAATACTATATATTGAAATAAATACATACTACACAAGGCATACAGGAGCTTGCAGCTCACAGCTTACGAATAAACAATGAATTATTTGCATGATCAAATACTATATCAAAGAATTCTCCGAGTTCATACGAAGACTTTGATTTGATATATTTTCATTATTGTCCGTGGCCCTGAGCTTACTTGCTATTGTAATCTCATCATCCACAAAGTATTATTGACGGAGTTATTATCACCAGAATATCATGAGCTTGTAGGTACCTATCTAAAGCAAATTTTTATGTATTATTCAATCTATTTTTTTTTCAATTTGTCCCTAAATCCCAAATACCTTAACCAATTTGTATCCTTCCATTATCTCAAACTTTGATGTCTTGATAAATGTGTTCCTACTTCCTAACTCCCAACTTTTAGACGCCCTAGCCAACTTCCATCTTTCCATTGTTTCAGACTTCGATGCCTTGATAAATATATTCCCAAATTCCAACTTTTAAACACCTTAACCAATTTCCATCTCCGCCTGTAACTACACCTGTAATCCCCTTTGATATCTTGATAAATGCATTACCAATTCCCAACTTCTAAACAACCCTAACCAATTCCACCTCCACCACTACCTATGAGAAGCCGCTTGCAAGTCCTCCAAAACCCTCTCCACAATATCTCTCTTGTACCATTTATCCATATTGAAGTACTCCATCCAGACCTTACGACAAGAGAAAGTTTGCCAAAACGAAGCCGTTACCCAAGTTGGGTATATGATAGAGTCCGCTGGTGGTGGACGATTGGGATCATGAGGAACCGTTGAAGTAGTAGTAAAACCCCAATATTCAATGGTAGTATATGAAGTCCTGCGTGGATTACGAGTAACGGTTCTCACCCTTCCTGACAAGACAAAGTCAGGACCTGGATCGCTACATTGAGGTCTTGGTAAGGTTATATATGGATCATATTGCCATCTAGAGAGCCAAAGGCCAGCTGGAAGTTCTTCGGTTGATGCGCCACCGACAACCTCATCTTCAGGTTGAGATTTTGGGAGTAAATCTTCTAATGTTGCAGCGCGCGTGATGGTCATAAGAGTAGTCGGGTCTGGGGAGCCAATTTTAATTGGTGGTGGTGTAATCGTTGGAAATTGACTGTTAGTTGATGATGCAGTCGGTTGGAAATGATTCCCAATGGGTGTTGCGGTAGCCTGCGAGAAAGCAGCGCGAATGGGCGCTGCGGTCGGCGAGAAACCGGTGGCGGTCGGCTGAGAAAATCCAATGCCAATGGGTGCTGCGATTGGTGATGCAGTAACTGCACGTTGCGAAAGAATGGCTGTTGGGCTGGGAGTCGAAAGTGCCAGAGGACCTTTCGGGCAAGTTGTTTTAATGCAACGGTGAGTACCTTCTCTTATCCTGGGTGCTGCTTGAAGAACAGGAACTGAGACAACAAATTCATGACCGTCATCGTTGAATGTAGCCATCATTCGTCGAATGGCAACTTCCTCTCTATTACAACGATGCATGAGCGCCCAATCTTCTCCCGTAGTTGCAGCATTGACAGCACCACATTGGAGAACTATTTCTTGTTCATTAATCTTCACCCAATGTGCTTCGTCATGATTATCGAGATCATTTCACTGATTACGAGTTTGAAGGTCCCTTTAGGGTTCGATATAATGGGGATCTTTTTCCTACCCAAGACGATTAGTTTATCCGAAAGCATCCATTCGTTGGATACCAA